AAAAAAAAAAGGACATTTTCTTACATAACAAGCATATAAAGTTGTTCATGCCCATGTTCACATATTAACACACCTAACAAAATTAGCACAAGTTCCTTATGATCATCTAATACCCAATCCATATTCAAATTCTCCCAGTTGTTCCAAAGATGTCTATTTTACTGTTGGTTTGTTCAAATCAGGATTTAAACAAGGTCCACACATTACATTTAGATATATTTCCTGAGTGTCTTTTAATCTTAAACAGTCCTCCCACCAGACCGTGTCACAAAGAGACACACACACACCACACACTACTCACATCACACACACCACCATACACAGCACATACACACACACTTGAGTGTCTTTTAATCTTAAACAGTCCTCCCACCAGACCGTGTCACAAAGAGACACACACACCACACACTACTCACATCACACACACCACCATACACAGCACATACACACACACCACACACACATACAGCACACACACACACCACACACACAGTACACACGCACCACATACCACACATACACGCACACACACAACATGGCCACGCTGACACACTGCATTCTGAGCCCCTGAGTCACCCTGCCCACTTCTCACAGAGCCCCTTGTGACCTTCGGTTTTGGTCCACAGATTTTCTCTTATACAGTACTCTCTCCTTCCTTCTCTGGACCCCTAGAGATTCCAAGTCACTGCGCCACAGCTTGGTACCAACTCTTTTATTTTTCTTACATTTTTTAGGTTTGTTTCCCTAATAATATAGAAAGTCACAAGGAGGCAAGAACTGAGCCTTTTAATGACTTTCAGCCCTCAAAGTGATCTTAAAGGTCATCTAATCTAAGCCTTGATTTTTCCTTTTTAACTTTTACAGTTTGCACAAATAGTACATCACCACCTGTCTTACAGATGAGAAAACTGAGGCACAGGGAAGCTAAATAATTTGTCTAAGGATGCACAGCAAGTTGGCAGCAGAACAGGCGTCCACTTTAGGTGGATTTTCCACTGTACCATGCACTTCTGTCTTTCCGTTTTTCTATAGCATCTAGCACTGCGTTATGAAATGTAGAAAATACTCACTAAGTACCTGTAGCCTAATAGATCTGGATCTGATTTTTAATTACTTGAGGTGAGTACAATTGTGGCCACTTAGAGAAAGTTATTGAAAGTTAATGACTGGTAGTTTCAGGCTAAAAATCCCACCTTATACTTGAATCCTTTGAATTTTCAACAAGAGTTGGATATATTGGGGGTACCAGAAGCCTTTGGTGATGGCTAATAGGGTCATCCAGCTAATTATTTTAGGGAAAGACCCAAAAGAAAATGTCAAAATGCACTACACTTGTAAACCCATTGAGATAGAAAACAGGTTGGTGATTGCCAGGGGCTGGGAAAAAGGGGGAGTGTGGAATAACTGATTAATGGGTACAGGTTTTCTTTGGGGGTGACAAAAATGTTTTGGAACTAGATAGAGGTGGTGGTTGCATAACACTGTGTACATACTAAATGCCACAAAATTGTTCATTTTCAAATGGTTAACTTTATGTTATGTGGATTTCACCCTAATAAAAATAAATACACTACACTTAAGTCCTAACTCAGCCCCGCTAAACCCAACCACACCCCAAGCTTGCCACCACCTCAGACTATGTAAGCAGAAGATGAGATCCCAGGGGGAAATTCACTGAAGTTGGGGGAGCACTGTTCTGGGGAGTATTTTGACTTTCCCCTCCTCAGTCAAGAGAGGCCCTAAACAAGAATTGCCCTTTCAGATCGTGGGTGCCTGTAAGAAGCATACTCCTGGGCAGGGGAGAGGCTGTGGGGCAGGATGAATGGAGAGCCTGCAGCGAGCAGCTCCCAGGCCCAAGCAGGATCCACGAGCTTCGTGGGGTAGTAGGTCTCTTGGGCTGTCCAACCAGCACTCCCCCGCAGGAGAGCCAACCCCCGGCAAAGCACTCCAGCCATCAGAGGAGCCTCAGAGAGGCAGAGGGAGGAACCCAAAGTCATCCCCCTTGGGAGAGGGCATGTGGACACCAGCCATCCCAGGAGCAGCAATAGAGAACCCACAAAACCCACTGAAGAAGAGGTGGCAATCAAAGGCCCAGTGAAGCAAAAAGATTCTCATCCTTCCCCCCACCCCTTCTCCAAGTCCCCAAGCATGACGAGAGGAAGAGACCAAACAGTGAGAAGAGGGACGAAGAGAAGCCACACTGCCCCTCACCCCGGGCCCCCAGCTAAAGGAGGCTGGTGCTGGGGGAGGCGTGGGCAGTGGACATCACATCCAACTCATGACGTGAGGCTTTGAAAGGAACGACATTGAACTGGAGGTTTTTTTAATGCCTGAAAACAACTAAAAATCTATGGGATCAGCCAAAGATTTTACTAAGGATTGTGAAAAAAAGATTTTGATGTAAATCTCCAAAAGGTTTGGAGAAAAAGTAGAATCATTTCATGTTTGTGTCCCAT